GGAACCACTGAGCTAAATCCCCCGCCCTTGTTATAGTTTTATTGTGTCTATGTAAACACATTGCTGAAGTTTCCACATAAAATATAAGCTTTGAAGAATGTTTTAAGGATCAAACTTCTGTGAGTGTAAACTTTATTACTATGAAAAATTAAGATTAGTAAATATTACAAAAGTACTGCCTTAGTATCTCTGAGTAAACAGTAGTTGAGTACTATTAAAACCTCTGCCTATTCCCTAACCTTTCCTATGTGGAATTTTTCATGGTGGGTCTTGGAGTCTGGAAGAACAGGCACTCATGTTCCTGAAGCATGCCTCTGAGTGCCACTCTGGTGGATGGGAATGGTGGGTGACTAGAAACCCATGAAGAGAATCCAGTGGGAGTTTGTGGTTCCAATTTGTGGCCCACTAGCCATGTGTGGCCAATCTTCCTACTGCTCTTCTCTTCTACTTAATGTGACATTCAAGGGAGAACTCTGATGGGTGCTGTTTTTCTTAACAGGAAACTAGTGCACCTAGTATTTTACATGCTGGTAGTAAACAAATTAAAATTTGGAAGTACACTTACATATTTTTCCTTCTTTTTCTAGTTTTTTCAAATGAAGGAAAAGATTACGTTCAGCCATTTTATGTAAATTCTCAGGAACATTCTAAAAGAAAAACAGGGTAAAAGGAAAAAATATTTCTTTTAAAAAAGAACTAAATTTTTTGGAAACCTTTATAGGAAAACCAAATACAACAAAGTTTAATTTAAATACATTTTAACACAGTAACAACCTAAAAAATTTTTTATTTTGTAAATGTGGTACTTTAGGACATCATATGGCTATATATTCTTATAGATAAATTAGATTAAGTTCCATAACAATAGCAGTGTTTTCAGTGCTTAGCATAATGGTACACTGTAGTAACCCATTAATATTTTATAAATGAAGGAATAAATAAATATAACTATTCTTAGATAGTTTTTGAACAGACAGTTCTATGGTTTATTTACTAGGTTACATGATAATATTTTTTTTGAGACAGGGTCTCACTATGTAGTTCAGGCTGGCCTTGAACTCACTATGTAGTCTAGGCTGGCCTTAAACTCCTGGTGATGCTCCTGCCTCAGACTCCTAAGTGCTGGGATTACAGGCATGAGCCACCATGCCCAGTTCACAGTATCTTTATACAATATTCCTTCAGTTTTCCTAAAACAATGTAATATTGACAACTATCATCTGAATGAAAAACAAAGAAAATATTTCTTTTATTCTTTTTTTTTGGTACCAGGGATCGAACTCAGGTCCTTGTGCTTGCATAGCAGGTGGTGAAATCACTGAGCTAAACTCCCAGCCCCTTATTCTTGAAATAAGGATTATAGTTCTGAAACTAACCTTCTTGCCTAAATGCACTGTCTCTATTTCTCAACTCCCTGAAAATATTTTGCCAAGAACACCAAATTACTTCAGTTAAAATTCAATGAATTCTTCTCAGTCCCACTGCACCTGAATTCCACTGGCTAGTTTCTTCCTTTTGAAGATCACTTTTCCCTTGTTTATTCCACTCTCCTTGTCATTAGTCTTCATCTTGGGTATTCTTTCTTATACTTCTCCTAAACACTGATGTTCACAAAGAGCCATGGGCTCCCTTTTCACTAGTCAACTCACCACACCAGTGACACTGATTCCCAAATCTGAATTTACAGATTTGTGATTTTCTAGATTTCATTATGTGAGTTCCCTGAGATCCTTAAAGCATTCCCGATTTATTGGCTAAAGCCCACAGTTTTAGCTAGCAGTGAAGACTTTCTGTGATCTGATCATGCCTCCTTTTCTTGCCTCACTTTCTGGGGCTCCCTTTTTGTCCAGCCACATATACAATCTGTGCTCCAGTTATATGTGGTGTGAGTTTCTAAACATGCAATGCTCCTTCACTGTATTACTCTTAGTGTTTGAACACATTCATCCCTCTGTCTGGAATAACTTCTTCTCCGCCCTGACCTAGAAAATGGTTTAATTCAATGAGTAAATTTCTAAAGACTTTTTTGACCTTATTATCTTGCACCTTTACTATGTAGAACTAATTTCTATTTTTTTTTTTTGGTACCGGGGATCGAACTCGGGACCTTGCGCTTGTGAGGCTGGCGCCGGAACCACTGAGCTAAATCCCCAGCCCTTATTTTTGTGTTTTGACAAACTAAGTATAGGACCTGGAGCAAGTTCAAGAAAGACAAAAAAAAAAACCCCACAAGATTTGAATATTTAAAATGCTCTAAAACCTAAAACCTTTTGCAGATGTTCAGATCATTTCAGATTTTTGGAACACTGTGGATTAGGGGTGCTTAATCTGTATAAGCCATTTAGGATAGTACCTGACATGTAGATATGTGTTCAATAAATGGACATTATTAAAATATAGCCCATATTTCAAGTATTTGTTGAACATATCTGTCTTCATTAAATTATGAATTCTTTAAGGGCAGAGATCTGTAGCCACCTTTGTATCTCTGCATATCAAAATATTCAATAAATGTTCAATGAATAAATCACTCTAGACCTAATGCCATCTGGTATGCATCAGGTGTTTTGCACACTTCTGAATACACACTGAATACCTATGAATGCAGATTTAGCATTTGTTTAAGCATGGGCAGTTGCTTGATGGCTCATCTGTGAGGGTTATGAGAATTTTACTATTTGTATACAGGTTACAAAAAAACACCTTGATGTACCAATGCTCTAGTATTATGAACTGTTTCATGAAATTTAAATATTTACATTACTTTTTTTTTCAGTATTTTGAGACAGGGTCTTGCTCTGTACTTGTGGCAATCCTCTTGCCTCAGCCTCCCCAGTGCTGGGACTACAGGTGTGTGCCGTTATGCCTGGCTACATTACTTTTTTGCCAATGATTTATATTTTTGTGGTGTTGTGGATAGAACTGAGGGCCCTGAGTACGCTAAACCAATGCTCTACCACTGAGCTGTACCTCTAGCTCCAGATAATGACAGTTTTAATCTTCAGATGTTTTAACCGTTCATCCCTCTCTTTTAAAACGAAGCACATGGAGTATAATTTAACTGTTTCTCCTTTTTCTTTCTTGGTACCAAGAATCGAACTCAGGACCTTGAGCTTGTGAGGCAGGCACTGGAACCACTGAGCTAAATCCCTGGCCCTATTTAACTGTTTCTTGATGACTGAAGCCTATGGGACATTAAGGTCCTTTATGAATTGTGGCCCCAAATGACATTCCTAAACTTAACTTCAGTGACAGTCTCATTAACTTATAGCTATACAAGTTGCAGTGGTGGGACTTCTTAAACTCATGCAATCTTATTACAAAGTCTAAATTCTTAGCCGAGAATTTATTACTAACAAAACAGCAAATACCTAAGGAACATTTGCTGAAAAACTGAGTAACACTAACTGAGTGCCACATAGTGCTATTGTACTGTAATGTACTCAAAGGCCACACTCAGAGGTATGGGGCTATTTCCTTATATTTGAAATTACTCATGTTCTTTGATGAGTATTTTCTCCCTTTTAGGCAATGCTACAACTTCTCATTGCCATTAACCCAGTATCTGTCTCCAGCAAATCACCTGGGCTCACTTTCTGTAGGCTAGGACACCAGATACTCAAGATGGCTAAAATAATATGTTGTTATAAAACTGTGGGCAGCAGTTTCTCCTGTAGAGTGAAGTACTTCAAAGTTTAGGAAAGCCTCTCAGGATGGCTATTTTTGTTCTCTATGGACAGTTTTTTTATTTTTTATTTTAGTACTATAGAAGATGAGACTGCTGGTCTCAATTCTAGACAAGAGGCATGAACTATAAAATGTTGACAGATGAGTTCTGATCTGGGATGTGGTACATTTACAGTCTATTGAGTAAATTATTTATTCTAATAAATTTGTGGCCATGCACCAGTAAGATGTCAGACTTACCTTGTAAAGAATTTTTACAAGCTCCGTTTTTGTAAATGATTTTTCAAAATTGTCACGAATGAATGTAAGAATTTGTTGTTCTCGGTAATTTCTGTGAGAAATATATTGTTGAATTGCAGCTTCTGCATTTTGGATTACTGGGCCGTGTCCTGAATTGAGATAATTATACAAATTTCTTCAACCAGATAAAATAATTAAGTACAAAGTTAAATCATTCTATTTGACAATAATTCATATGCTGAATCAAAAAAAGCACACTACACAAATATGAATTATTTGGAAAGCTATACAGGTATAAGACTGAAAACATCTACAATGCCATAAAAACCTTAGAGAATGATATAAAATAAAATCTATATAAAATACTACTGTGTATATTAAAGTAGACTTTAATAATATATAGCAATAAAATCAGCAACTACAACAATAGGTAATATTTACAGAGTGTTATATGCCAAGCACAGTTCTTGATGCTTAATGTACATTATTTTTACAAGGATCCTGAGAGATAGGTACTATTATTACACTTCTTTTATAGTAGACAATGAGGCACAGGGATAGTAGCTACCTGCCTAGGGTGGGTGAAGCTGGGATTCTGACTGAGCACTTTTTTTCTCTTTTCTTTTTTTCTTGTGTAACTGGCGATGGAACCCAGGGGTGCTTTACTACTGAGCTACATCCCAGCCCTTTTTATTTTTTGGGACAAGGTCTCACTAAGTTGCCTAGGCTGGCCTTGAATTTGAGATCCTGCTGCCACAGCCTCTCAAGTAGCTGGGATTACAGGTGTGTGTCATCATATCTGGCCTGACTTGGCTGTTTTTGTTTTTTTTTGGGCTACTAGGGATTGAACTCGGGACCTTGTGCTTATAAGGCAGTAAGTGGAACCACTGAGCTAAATCCCTGGCCCCTGATCTTGATGTTTTTAACCAGTCTGTGCTCTTAATCACTATGGTTAGCTTGATTGAAAAGAGGGAAAGCAAAAAGCAGTCTCATGTAGGCGATCAAGGTTATTAAAAATTCGTAAGACCCATAGTAGAATTTTAAGTCTAGATTATTAATTCACAAATGTGACAACCCAGATTAAGTTATAATGAAATTTACTTACTCTTTAAAACAATGTAAATTAATATATTACACAAATCTGCAAGAGGAATGTTTCACCTGAGAATATGACATCCAGAAGCAGGCTAACCTACTATCACATAAAGATTACTGGAATTTAGACTATGACTTATCAGCTGTGTGGGTATAAGGAAGTGTTGAGTCTCTCTGAGACTGTTTCTTTAACCATGTAATGAGGATATTACCTACTTCAGAGTGTTTTTGTGAGGTTGACAGGTATAAAGGCCCCTGCAGAGAACATGATAGTAGCAGGTTTTAACATATGGTGGCGATGGTTACAGAACATAATTGACATATAAACAGCTGCTGTGCTAATAACCAGTTCACTGGATTCACTAAAGCAAACACTCTAAGAACCTTTAGTAGGCAGCCTCTCATTGGCCACCACATACCTACTTTCTATTTAAAAAGAGCTATGAACATTTATTCCTTTTATGTCATAACTATCTAAATGCCCAGCTCTACTATTCCCTCAGCAGTAGGAATTCATGAAAGAAGGTAAGCATGCTGAAGATATTGTTTTAACAGATTTTCTATAGTTGTTTGGTTAGGAGCCAATTTAGATGGAGTTAGAAGATCAAGGAACCTAGTCCCCTTTCCATCTGGGCCTTCTTGTTAGGTCTTGTGCTTATTTTTTAAGATGGAGAGGAGATTCATATTGTAGAGCAGTGCAGTGATATCTGAGACGCTAACAAGTTTCTTTTTCTGGAGAATGGCAATAAAAATAACATTTTATAGTTGTTATGGAAACTTGATATTTCAATATTGTGAACTAAGAAACCAAAATTCAGAGGTCAAACATTGCTCAAAGTTGCAAAGAGCTAAAATGTGTTTCTAACAGAAAGCAAGTTAACAAAAATAATGGTAGCTTATGGAATGAAAACATTTTCCTGTTCTGATGTAAGCTTATTTCCTTTGCTTAACATGTCAACCAACAGCTGTGTAAATGTTGAAAAATAATTATTTTCTTTATAAAAGGTTATTTTCTAAAAATTTTATTCAATATTTTAAAAAACTTATTAATACACGTTTGCAGTGTGTAATGATTACATTCATTATATAAAAGGTTATTAATGTAATAGCTTTCTCTTTAAATTTAACTACATAGCTTGGCAAGACTTAGGGGTGTAATTTAAAGCAGTTTATACATATTTCTTCAAGGCTGAATATACAAACAGAGACAAGCCAAAATGAACTTCGTCATCATTTGACAAGAATGGTTTGCTCGAATATAAAAATTGCCCACCTGGATATATAATATCAGCTTTGACTTTCAATAACAGGTTTAGGGAGTTCATATAATCATAGAGGTCTTCAAATATAGATGTTCCTTCCCCTAGGATGCAATCCCCAGAAAAAATGGCATTTTCTTCTTCTAAATGTAGAGCCATATGATCATCACTGTGGCCAGGTGTGTATATAACTCTGGTTCACAAAAGAAATAAAATAACAAGTATGAACTCTTAGGCATAGGAGAAATATTGAGAAGTAAATTTTTCTGCATTCTTATTTGGACAACACACAAATAATGATGTCAATGACTTAAAAAAGCTCTTTTTCCCCCTTGTGTCCAGTGAAAATTAACATCAGATAATTCTCCCCTTTAACTAAATCACATGTCACTCTTAAGTACAAATTTAATATTTTCTCATCTTTATTTCTTAAGTAACAAGCATAGATTAAATTTGGAAAATAAAAGAAGATAATAGAGAAAATAAATACAGATAAAGATAATACAGAAGATAAAAATCCGCAACCATTTCCATTAGAAACAATGCTTTCGCTATTTAAGAACATATTTTTTACAATTTTCTATGCATACATTTAAAAACAAAATTGTGATATTACTTTAATATATAATTTTTTACTTGTATTTTCTTACATCATTAATTTTTAAAATACATAAGTGCTTTGCATAATAGGTGACACAAAGTTAACATCCTTATAAATGATCAACACTTTATTTTAGTAGTTAAAAAATATAAGGGGACCAGGAATTTTGCTCAGTGGTTTCACTGCCTGCCTCGCAAGCGCAAGGACCTGAGTTCAATCCCCGGGACCAAAAAAAAAAAAAAAAACAATATAAGGGCTGGGGATGTAGCTCAGTGGGAGTGTGCTTGTCTAGCTTGGACCAGACCATGGGTTTGATACCTAGGACTGAGATAAGACAAAACAAAATAAAACAAAACAAGAAAAAAAGCAGTTTTGAAAACTGATTTCTCCCCTACACTTGATCTTAGCCATAAGGCCAAGAAGCGATGATTTCTCCCCTAAATAAGAATTTAGTACATTTTTATTTCTCTTCTGATTATTTTGATAAAACTGATTATAATAAATATTTTCAAAGCATGGTAAAACTGATAATCATATTTACAAAGCATGATAAATATTTCAGAAATTCTTATTTACATTTTTTTTTGGTACCGGGGATCGAACTGAGGTCCTTGTGCTTGGCAAGGGAGATGGCAGAACCACTGAGCTAAATCCCCAGCCCCATTGTTTCATAACTATCAACAATAAGTCAGTTAAGGAGTAAATCTAAATAATTTGTTCTGCAAAGCATCCCTCAGCTTCTTAGCTACGTAAAGACTTAATTTTCTGTACAGGTCATTTTTTCTTCTATATTACTCTTGTACTTTGAATGATAATTATATTGGGATTTACAGGTTTTACACACTTAAACCTTACACTACTTTGGGGTGGGTACTATTAACCTCTCAACTTACATTTTAGATAAATGAAACACAGGAGATGACAATAAATATGATGGAGGATGGTTTAAATTGCATTTTATTTAGCTTAAGAAGTTAATTATCTGGGCCGGGAATTTAGCTCAGTGGTTTCACCACCTGCTGTGCAAGCGCAAGGACCCGAGTTTGATCCCCAGTACCAAAAAAAAAAAAGAAGTTAATTATCTTTCTATAATAGACAGTATTGAGTTTTATGTGCTTGCGGTATTTTTTAAAATTAATTTTATTTAATTTTATTAATTTTGTACATTTTAGGTATACAATATAATGACATTCATCATTGGAAATTTGAACCTTTACATAATCTCTCTTGGTTCTTATTTTTTCCCCATTCCCCTGCCCGCCCTTCAACCCCTCCATCCCTCCCTATTTACAAAGACTTTGTTTCCATTTTTTCATTGCTTGCAGTGTTTTTAATAAAATTCACAATAATAGGATATTTTGGGCGATACGGTGAATGTATTTAATACTTAGGAATCGAATGTTAAGTTTTTGCTTTAAGAGTGACACCTGCATCTATTTTTTTCTCCTCCTAAAACACCAATAAAGTGATCATAAAGGCATTTTTAAGTAGCATAAAGCCACAGGTATAAGAAAGAATGGGAGAGGTGCCCATATCAAAAATTTGAAAGTTATAAAGAAAGATGAGAGGCAAATGACTTAACAGCCATGAGAACACTGAAGCCTGAAGAGGCCGTAGGGAAAGCTGAAAGCCAATCAGATTTACACTGAAGAATTTCCCGAAGTCTGAGGATTTGGGGCGTCAACAATCTGGAAGCAGAGGGTGAGGTGGGGGAAGAGTGGCTAAAATAAGAATGACTAACTGAAAATCTCTTTAACAAATATTCATGACTAGGGGTATAAGTCTGTGGTAGAGCATGTGCTCAACATGCACAAGGCCCTGGTTCAATCCTCAGAATCAAAAACAAAACCAAAAAAACAAAACAGCAACAAAAACCCCTAAATATTCAGATCTCCAGATTCCCTTTCCATCTTGAGTGGTATTAGAAGTGTTCTAATTCTACTAAAGGAAAAGACTGGAGATTGAATCTTTGAAAAGAATAAAACATATACAAGGGCCAGGGATTTAGCTCAGTGGTTCGGCCGCCTGCCTTGCAAGCACAAGGTCCTGAGTTCTAGGTACCAAAAACAAAACAAAACAAAACAAAATGCAGATACAGATGGGAGTGATAATATCTTAAAAAATTAGTTAAGTACAGGTAGATTCCCAAGTTGCTTTTTAACAATTCAGTTTCTATAATGCTGGCAGCCAGGCCTTTATCTGACATGAAGACTAGAAGAGTTTTTTTCTAAGTTATTTCACCAGGTGACGAAGAAAGACTCTATCAATGTTGGAAGTTCCCAACTAAACAGTACATCTCGATACCATACAGTGAGGGCTCAACACTTACAAAAGCCCCTCCCTCACATTCTCAGAGCTCCCAAATAGCTACAGCTGTAGTCACCCTACTGTGCAGTAGCATACCAGAACTTGCTCCCATCTAATGGTAACTCAGTGCCCAGCCAACAAACCGTACATCCAATTAGATTTTAAAGACATATTTAGGGCCGGGGATTTAGCTCAGTGGCACTGTGCCTACCTCGCAAGTGCAAGGTCCTGAGTTCGATCCCTGGTACCAAGAAAAAAAAAAAAAAAAGACATATTTAGACATGGAAAGTTTGAAAAATGAACCCTTTCTCAGGAAGCTTTTGGAGATGGATTTCAATAAGAAAGGGTACACAAAAGTTATGAATTACAGGAAATAGGCCAACAGACACAGGAGACAGGCAAAGGGAAGCCCCAGGTGACAATGACGGGAGTTTGATAACAGCAGCTGGAAGCCTAGAGGAAAACCAGTCCAGACTGGATAGAGCAAATTAGAAGTTAGAAGGCACAGACGGAGGGTTCTTCTGGAATATGAAATTGAGAGAATCTTGATATATTTAAACATACTGAGAGAAGGTTTATACAGTGGACCCTTGACTTAAGAACTCGCTTGGTTCCTGGGGGCTGGTTGTTTTTGTACCTCAAGTTGGCTGTAAGTCAATGTAGTTGAGATCTAGATGTTTACCTGGATACATGCTATAGATAACAAGAGGCAGATGAATCTTCATTAACCTAATTAACCCAAATTGTATGGCAGGCTGGTTGTAACTTGAGTTCCCGCATTAAGTGTATAGAAAACTATTCAAATAAAATAAAGCAATTATTAGGTACATGAAAGGAGGGAAAACAGGAAAGGAAAAGTAAGCAAGCATAGTTTACTACATGCTTCAGCTGTATATCCTGTTGTTACGGCTTCTATCTAGATGCCCAGCCAAAACCTCAGGTGGTTATAAGAGGTGGGTGGATTAGGGTGTGTGATGTGGGAGTAAGAGTGTGATGCTGGGAGTAAGGGTGCACCACCCTGGGTGTGGTTGGTGCCACCCAAAAGGCAGGTAGCCTGGAAGAGATAAAAGGGACAGAAAGAAGGCAGGCCTGCTGCTGGTGCTTCTGCTGCTGTTGCTGCTTCATTAGTTTGCTCTGCCATGAGCTGTTTCTTCTCTGTGATGCCCCTCTGCCATGCCACCCTGCCTTGGACCCAGCCAACTATGAACTGAAACCTCTACAAACTGTGAGCTACAATAAACCTTTCCTCCTTTAACTTTGTGTGTAGGGTATTTTGTCTCAGCAATGAAAAAAGTAACTAAGACAACTCTCTACAGTGGTAAAAATATTATCTTTGAATAAATTCCCTCTCACCCATCTTCGTTCCTTCCTTTCTTTTCTTCTCTCCTCTGCCCCTCTTTCTTTTCTTCCTCTCGCTCTCTTTAGATTCTTTCTGGTGAGTCTTACATATTTTCACTAATTCTGTCATAAAAAATTAACTAGAATATTAACAGATGGAATAAAAACATGTTGAAAAACAGTAGCATCATGAGCAAATAAAGTTTAAAAAACAGGAGTGTTCCAATATTATAAAATCTCTGAAAATAATAATAAAGTTATGGAACTAGTAAGTTCTTCTTCCTGGACTTTTGAAAAGACATTTGACAAAAAACTTTTAGTAGTATTTAAGAGACTTGAAATGACTGTAACTTAGGAGTTTCTCTTTTGCCAAAAAATCAAAATTAACCACATTTTAAATATTAAATACTTAAACTATAAAGTTAAATCTGCTAAAATATAATTTATATAAGGTATAAGAACATGAGATACTGCTGTAATGGGAGCAATTATTATTATTATTATTTTTTGGTACCGGGGATTGAACTCAGGACCTTGTGCTTGTGAGGCAGGAGGCAGAACCACTGAGCTAAATCCCTGGCCCGGGGGCAATTATTCTTGAAAGGCCAATGTCTAATGTTAAGAACTATTATGTTTTTATGATTTCGAAGTTTATGCTTTATATATTGCAAACACTATATATAATTGCTCCAATAGTGAAGTATTAAAGAGCTGTTTGAAATAATTTCATTTGTCTGATTAAACCTGTAAATAAAACAATGTTATATAAAAATAATCTCAGGAGGTATTTTTCTAGCCAAGTATAAAACCATGCATCTGTGTGTGGATATGTATCACTTTTTGAATGAACAGAATGCATTAACAAAAAACTTATTTGTGTATGTGTGTGTCTGTGTGTGTGTGCATGCATGTGCGCAAGTGTGCCTGAGGTACCAGGCAAACACTAACACTGAGCTGTATCTCTGGCCTCATTTTTTTTTTTTAATCTATGAAAAATCATTTGGAGAGCCATTCATTTTCAGTCCACAAATTCTCTTATCTGTCAACATGTTTGCAATACTGCCTTTTTCTTTACCTGCTGCCACCTCAGAACTTAGTAATGGTTTATTTTCATTTTTTTTTTTTTGGAGGAATTCCATTTACTGTGGATGCATTTTCACAATATATTTCATTGTATCGATCAATTATCAGTGAAATTATCAAGTGTTTATAACATTTTTAAGAATGGCAGACTCACAGAACATGCTAGTCAACTTGCAGTTTGATCTCTTAATGATAACAGAGAATTGTAATTGAACAGGTAACAAGGGATTTGCTTTTCAAAAGATTAAATCCAAACTGAACAGAATTCTACCTTAAAACTTATTCCAGCCAAATACTGGAATAAAAGTCAGGATCAATACATTCTCTTAACTTCAGATTTCTAGAGTAATTTGTGATAGTGACCAGGAGACACTCTCATTCAAAAGCAAAACAAAGCAATGTTTTCTCATTATTGACAATGCAATTGATCCATCTCACTTCAGTGATGGGAGTCATTCACACAGGTGCTTCATGTAAATCCTAGTTTATCTTATCATAGATTTGAGTCTACTCTGTCATGGGTGGCTGGGAATTTGTGTGCAATCTTGGTGGATTATCTTCCTTTGGCCCAGGTTTGCTAAAAGACGGGATTCCACCAGCCTTTCTGATAGAGAGGAAACAGATTTTAGAAGGGAGTGGTTACTCCTCAGGTCAGTTCTGCCCTGGCTAGCTCTGTCAGTGTGGTAGGAATTGAGACAAAGGCAGTTTGTGACAAATTAGATACGAGTTTATATAATGACACTGTATGTATTTTCTACCCGAGGACATTTTGCCAAGACACTGGAGTCCTCTTCCATCAGCTATTGTGAATAATAAAGATTTTCAGGTTAAAATAAGATCTGACATCTGGATTGTGTGTGTTCAAAAATAGTGAGGGAATAATGACTCTTGGGGAAAAGCAAAACTCATAAAATTAACACATATTTTTTGAAATTTCAACACATTATCAACTTATAACAAGTACCAATGACTAAGAAAGGTAGAAAAGTTTAATTTAAAAAAATGTTTCAGAGTATATAAAGATGGAAATACTGTCATGCCTCAACACTGGATTTTATTCACTTGTTTGCTTCTAAACATGAACCAGAGTCAGCCTTTGCTTAGACCTCTACGTGGAATTCCAGTCTGTGTAATATCATTACTGAAATTCTTGTCTTTACATTTTGTTGAAGGAAGAGACCTTAGTTATCATGTAGGCCAACTTACTGTGAACTGTATCGTTGCAAATAAGCAGGCTTTGAGTTTGATTCAGATGGTAGATTTAATACAATTCACACTGGATTTCAATATTTTCGATATTTAAGTCAGGTACTAAGATAGCTTACACTAGGGGGATCATAAATTTCAACTTTGTCACCTGGGTGACTAATGCTTTAATTTGCATAATACTGTGTTAAAATTCAGTTCACATAAGCAAGAGGAGAAAAGGAAATGACATCAGAGGAGATTTGGTAAAGATCAGAGGAAATGTGGCTGTGGCTTTCCCATTCATCAGTTTTGCCCTCTGTATAGAATACTACTGTATTTTATAAGGACGGTTCTCTCAGAAATTCAGGTCAGCAAAAGCTATGAGATTGACTTTTAAGAAATTATACATCTCTAGAAAAGTTCTGAAGGTGAAATCCAGAATTAAATCCCTACCAGAAAAGTCTGTTTAGCTTTCAACTTTTTACTACAAGTATTTTTGGTGGGTTATTACCCCTGCCTCTATTATATTTTGCCTTTTTTCCTTCAATGTTTGCAAGTAGGCAATATCAACTGGACAACAAACACTTGAATACCTAAAGACATAAGCAGATTTTAACTTTCTGTTTATGAAACTTTTGCTTATAAACAAGTCCGTAGGCAAATACTGAAACAACTGAGTTGACTTCATAGAAATGAAAATCTGAAACGATGGCCTTCAGGAAATGAAATGTTTTATTATAATGAAAAATTATATTTTAAGAAAAGATTATTTACCAGTAGTAATTTTTAGAACTGTGAATAGTTTTTATTTTTTATTCTTTGAGTTAGTTTCCTTCCAATCTTAAAAACAGATTTCCTTTTTTTTTTTTTTTTTGGTACTGTGGATTGAACTCAGGACCTTGTGCTTGCAAGGCAGGCACAGTGGGTGCTGAGCTAAATCCCTGGCCCAGATTTTCATTTTTAACTTGTCCTAATCAGAATGAAGCACAACAAATATTAAATAGAATTCAAATAATATTTAAGTCATTGGCATCAATTTACTCTTGAGTCCAAGATAATATTTAACTACAGGGGATGCAATGACAAGAAGTTAGCATGCGGGGGTGGTTTTTGGGGTGCTAATACACTTCTCTGTCTTCATCTGAGTGTTGTTCACACAGCTTGTTCGGTTTATAAAATTCATTGTTGTATGTTTCTAACATGTACACTTTTATGTTTACATATTACACTTTAATAAAAAGTTAAAGAAACTGTGGTCCTGCTCATGTTGATGGCAATTAACTTGTCCTAATCAGAATGAAGCACCTTTATTCTGAATGAAGTTAAGGGCTGAATATTCTTAGTTTGCAAAATTAGGTGTAGATCTAATAGCCATGATTCTATGTATGGTAAAGTGTGATACACAAGTACCATAAGCTCCAAACCTTTAACATGGATGCCCATTATTTCATTTTCTCTTTCTCAGTCAGTTGTTTATCTACTCATCTCTTGAGAAGAATTTACTACACGTTAATTATCAGTGCCTTCTATATGCCAAGGACTGAAGGTATAAAGAGGAACCTGGTGTCCGTCCACGTCAGAGAATGGCTAATTACTAAACCCATTTTTCTTTTTTCTGGTCATGCAGTTAAACTTTATTTCCTAATTTTCCCATGGTTAGGGTGGCACCTGACCGAATCCACAGCTTATGCTGCAGAAGACTTGTTCCATGAAAACCTACCACACAATATTCCTTCCATGCTTTTCCCACTCTGGATTGATTTAAGTGATTATGACAACCTTGAAAGCAAAGTGCTTAGGTAGGTGGACTCACAAGATGGAAGGACACTTAATCATTGTCTTGCTGAACACCTTGAGGGCCACTTGCTAATTAACCTATTTTAGACTTCATGTGATGAAAATAAGCTTATTTCATGTTCGAGCCATTATACATTTCCTTGGTTTTCTGTGCCAACTGGCATTAACTATTATGGTGAGCTTAAGGAGCTGATTACCTTTCAAAGAGATAGCAAGTAAGTTATAATTTAGCAAGTGCAATAATAGAATAATAAATGTTATGTGAAAGTGGGAGGAGGGAGCTGTTAATTCCGCCCAGAAAGGATTCTTAAAGTAAGTAACATGTGAACTGGACTCTGAAGAATAAGTATATAAGAATTTACTAGAAGACAAGTATGGGGAAAGAGCAACATTCAGAAAAAAGAAAGTTATAAACAAAGGCATGAATAAATATGAGTAATATAACATATAGCTAACTGTGTTTGTAAGGGGAACAGTGGGAATTCAGACCAGAAATGTGGTTTGGGCCAGACTGGCACACTAAGAAGAATACACATTATCTTGTAGGCAGTGAGAGTCACCAAAGCTTTCAAGTGACTGTATGAGTCTAAAAGGTAGCCTAGAAAGGGGAAAGGCTGGAGACAGGAAAATTAAGCACAAATTATCTGTAATGGACATGAAAAAGAGACAGCAATGACAAATGTTTCTGAGACAAAAACTAACTTGAATAGATATGGGGTGAGTAGAAGAGGGGGAATGATAAAGTGCAGTTAAATGGTTAAAGGTAATCCTGAAACATCTATCTTAGAAGAATGAGTAAGGTCCTAAGAACAAAGCAAAGGAGATATTCTGAGATCAGAAAGCAAGTATAGATTGTAGGACAAGGAGAACCATAATTAGTTCAGCTTTAAAATTACTCAGTGTGAAATACTTTTCTGAATACCTTAAACAGATCATGAGGGATTATGGGTCTGGCTTAACATCTCTTCACTATAGGTACAGGTCATCTTTTGGAAATGAGAACATGGGAAAGCCCTGAATTGAAGTGTAAGTAGATCTCTAAACTACCATAGGAAGAAATGCTAATTTTTAAATCTTATGTAAAAAAATTGTAGGAGTCAAACAAATAATTAAAAAGGGCATATAGAGTGAAAAGTCTTTCTTTTCTGGTTTCTCAAGCAATCCATTTTCCCTCTCCAGAGTATGCAATGATACCAGGTTTTTTTGGTTCTTCCTGAGGCATTCCTCCCACATACAAGTGAATATACCTATATCCCCCTTCATCGTGTGTGTGTATATATGTATTATATACACATATATACACACACAAAAACACACATACATCACACCCTCTCCCTTCCCAAGCAAGGGACATCCACTTACTTTAGAGTGGCTCCCTCGGTCTTAATCACATCTTGATCTTTTAGATAAATATATTGTTGTGCTCCATTTCCTATAATTTCTTCTTTATGGGGATTCCGTGGGAGTTTTTTAATGCAATAGGCAGTGTCTAGTTAAAAAACATGCAAATATATTACATCAGATTTAGATGATGCAGCTTTTTAAGAGATCAGTTTTTATATAGCTAACACTTATGAGTGCACAAAATACTACAAGACAACAGAAAAATGGGATTAATTATAGCAGCTTATCTCTGTTTTTTTTTTTTTTTTTTTGAGACAGGGTCTAGCTATGTAATCCAGGCTGGCCTTGAACTCACTATGTATTCCAGGCTGGCTGTGAACTCATGGCAATCCTCCTGCCTCAGCCTCCCAAGTGCTGGGATTACAGATGTGCACCACCATTCCCGGCTTATCTCTGGTATATAAATACAGTACTCATATATCTCAATAGATGAATTTTTATTCTTGTATGCTCCTTTGTGACTTTCTAGTCATTTCTTTTTCTTTTTTTTTTTTTTTTGGTTTACCTCACTTTTATTCACCCAAACAGGGGCACAAGCAATGAAGGTAACACAAGATTCATCTGCTTTCCAATATCCATTAGTACATTCTCGGGTAAACAACTTAACCTTAGCTGTCTTAACTTTTACCTAGTAAGTCATTTCTATTTTATATAGACACCTGAAAGTAGTTCTTCATAGTCTCATCTAGCTCTGACAATAGACAGGCATTGAAGAGGCAGTTGCATGGAATTGGAGAACTTTTCTCTATCCAGGTGGCGACATATGGTAGAGAAATCATGGCAGTGGCTAAAAAGAGCATACTAGTGTATGGTTTTTGCTGTGAGTGCTGAAAGGGAACCCCAAGACTGAGGTATTTAATCTTTAACATAAGTTTAAAACATACTCCTCACTGAATCAAACAAAGTTAACAGATGAGTCCAATTATCTAACCAGTAGACTATGTATAGTGAATATATGTGCCATGGTTTCAAAGCACTTAAAATCTGTCATGGGTGGGGAAATGAAACTTACAAAGGGAAACAAAGACCTATACTCAGTATTATTGAGCTATATCTCCAGTTCCATATAATTATTATTATTATTATTATTTTTTTTTTGGTACCAGGGATTGAACTCGGGTCCTTGCGCTTGCGCAGCAGGCGGCGAGACCACTGAGCTAAATCCCCGGCCCCCCATATAATTATTTTAACAGGAACAAATTCTCATTTTTTAATGTTTGAATAATGCTTCATAACATCACTGGAAATATTAATTTAAGCTGATATGAATGTGGTATTATGTATGTACAATAATGTCTAATTAAAAACATTCTAATTGAATGCAAACATTTGACTTCTAGATCTCAGATGTATATGTGAGAGACACTCACCTGTGGTTGCAAAATAATAAAACTATCAGGTAATAAAATATATTTTCTGGGCCTGGGATTTAGCTCAGTGGTTCTGCCACCTGCCTCACAGGCAGAAGGTCCTGAGTTCGATCCCCGGTACCAAAAACATATATATATATATATAAAATAATATATATATATTTTTCAAAGATTTACTCAAAACTGAACCAAACCACCTAAGCAGCCTTGGACTACACAGTCTCATGTCTAGTAAACTATTATGAGTCCCCAAATTATATTCCAATTGTGTTTTGAAAATTTTGTAAGCAGGTTGCTTTGAAGTTACTACATCCTCCTACACAAATTATATCAATGGCAGTTATATTTTTAGTGTGACCTGTAAGAATACAAGTGGTCAACATGGTAAAGTGTCTGAAACATTTCTTCCCTATCAAGAATTAAACAAAATTGAGCTGGGCATGGTGGCCCAGGCCTGTAATCCCAGCACTTGGGAGGCTGAGGCAGCAGGACTGCCATGAGTTCGAGGCCAGCCTGGACTACATAGTGAGACCCTGTCTCAAAAAAAAAAAAAAAAAAAAAGAACAAAATTATAAAAGAGTATGCAGCTAAATAAATGATAAAATGGAATAAGAATGCTAGTGATTAAGCATTTAGAGAATGAGGAAATAACATGTATCTTTTAGGGGGAGATTCTAGAAGGCATTTTTGTACAATTGCAACCCCAACCAACTTGAGGTCTCAGTGTAGCTTGTCTAGCTTCAATAATGTCTAGAAAGAAAGACAAGGGTCAGGGATTTAGCTCAGTGGTTCTAGCGTCTGCCTTGAAAGTGCAAGGTCCCAAGTTCGATCCCTGGTACCAAAAAAAAAAAAAGGGAATGAATGAATGAAGAAAGACAAGCCATTTCTCATGAAATATTAAAATTTTAGTGGCTATAAAAAGTAGTTAAATTCTGCCTCTATTTTCTTTAAATCAACTGAATAGGTAATCTATTATATAAATATTAACTTCAGTACAGAGCCTAGAATTATTTTAATTTTTAAATTGAAGGAAATGTGTCAAGTATGCATTAATGGGTGACTGGATAAACAAATCATTGTGTATTTACACAATAGACTACTTCTTGAACAATAAAAAGGAACAAAACTACTAATACACAAGCATGGGTGAACTAAAAAACATCACGATGCCATATAAAAGAATTAGACAGTGATTATTCCATTATGTGAAATTCTAGAAATGGCAAAACAAATACATAGTGGAAGAAAACAGATTAATGGTTGCTAGAAATGGGGAGCAGAATCTCTGCAAAGAGACTTGAAACTCTTTATGGGGTGGTTCTGGAAGTGTTCTATATCTCGACTAGAGTGGTCACATAGGTATTTACATTTGTTAAAACTCACTAAACTGTATGCTTAAAATGGGCATATGTTATGTATGTAAATTAAAGCTCAATATAGTTGATTTATGAAAGTAAAAAAGTGGAACATAAACATTTTAATTTTTCAAATTGACCTTCATGCTAAAAAAGAGTTGACTGACCGAAGTGACAAAGCTAATTTAGAACTCTCAAGGTAATTTTTAAATCCACAAAATATAATGGGCAGATTGACTATAGAAGCAAAAATTGAGGAAATGTTAGGATGAGAAGTTAGGAGTCCTTTGGGTGCAAAAAAGAGGGTAAAAAAGTTAGGTTAGAAAGATTTTGGTTTTTAGTAACTGGAAGCCTGGGGATACAGGGTACAATAGCTTAGCTAAGATTACCCTAATGTCCTAATTGCAGTCTAAAAAATACCTATTTAAAAATATTAGTTGAATGCACATGCTCATCCTTGTGTGAATTAATGTCCTTGGCCCCCTTGCTATACTTAAATATCAAGCACACTGTCATTCTAACATCTTTCCTTCTGTAATCTCTCACATGGACATGTCATTTTCTCAGGAGCTCACTGCTTCTCTCCATTCAACCCTAATAAAATAGCTACTGCCTTCAACTTTACTTTCTTTTGTATAGCTTTATTTTCCTTCATAGCACCTACCATTATCTGATCTACTTACCATTTACCTTCCCAGTTACAGGGAGAGTATCCCTTATCTGAAATGTCTGGGATAAGTTTTTTGTATTTTGAGGATATTTGCAAATATATAATGAAATATCTGAAGATGGGACCCAAGTCTAATACAAACTTTGTGTTTCACATATACCTTCTATACAAAGCCCACAGGTGTATTTTCAGTATGTTTTTATTTCATCAAGTGGTGTGCAAAAATGTTTTGTATGTTAAGGCATTTTGGATTGTCAAATTAGGGATGTTCAACTTGTAGAATGAAAGATTCATGAGAACAGAGACTGTTTTGTTTGCTGCTCTATTCCTTATGCCAAGAACAGTGATTAACATATAGCAGTCACTTAAATATTTGTTTAATGAATGAATGAATCAAGGTGTATAATATGGGATGAAAGAATGTGGGAATGAAAGGGGGCTGGGGATTTAGCTCAGTGGTTTCGGTGCCTGCTGCACAAGCGCAAGGACCCAAGTTCGATCCCCAGTACAAAAAAAAAAAAAGTGAGAATGAGAGTTGGTAAAATGTCAGGGTTGAATAGATATTTTGTCTTAATTACAATATATCTTAGGAACTGCCTTAAAGTTATGAAGGTCTGAGATCACCTATTTATACGTGGACAATAATGGCATTTACCTTACAGTATTTAAATAAAGGGTTTAGCACAGTGCCTGGCACAGTAAATGCTTAATAGTTGTTAACTGAAATTGATCTTTTTCATTGGATATTATGGCTTGTATCTAGATGTACCCCCAAGCCTCAGTGCTTATAGTGGGGCTTTTGGAAGGTGACTGGATCATGGGCATGTGATACAGGATCATGGGTATACGATACTGGCTTAGTCATTCATTAGTTTAGCATAGTTCTAGGTGTGAATGATGGATTTACTGAAGAGGAAAGACCCATCCTGGGTTTGGATGACACCACCCAATAGACTTGTTCATTTTGTTTTATTTTATTGGTACCAGGGATTGAATTCAGGACCTTGTGTTTTTGAGGCAGGCGGTGGCACCACTGAGCTAAATCCCAGGCCCAACACCCAAAAGACTTGTAATCTGGATGGAAAAAAAAAGAAAGGAGGCAGGCTGCTGCTTCCTGCCTACCATGCCATGGACTGTGTCTCCTCTGCTATGCTGCACTAGCTTGGAGCCAGCGACTATGGACTGAAACCTCTGAGGTTATGAAAGAGAAAACTGAACTTTTTCTTTTCTCCTTGTTAAAATTAGGAACAACATTTAAATTACATCAATTTCTAAAAATACTATAGCTTGCTTAATAAATTATTCCCCAGATAGTATTTTCTTCAATGAACTTAACATTTTCTGTTTACCATTATTGATGCTTTTACAAATATCTTCTATGCCTCCAGAATGATCGGGATGCCAATGAGTCACTAGGATTTCCTGGATTGCTGTGTTAAATTCAACCAGAGCTTGCTTTAAACAGCTGATATATTCTGGAATTGCTGTTTCTCCAGTGTCAATGAGGATTCTCCTGAAAATTAAATGGAAGATAATTACACAATTGGAACAGAGTTAATATGAGCATATTTCTCACACAAACTATACCAAACTTAAGAAACTTTATAAATTATTTTGCTTCAACATGCTAGGAAACCAGCTATATGTTACTTTAGTTTAACTACAGTAATTTTACTGTAAGAAAGTTCTTTGAAACAAATTATAAATGTAAATCTGAACAAGTAATAATAGCAGTAATCCTGAACACTTACATAGCAACTAAAACATGGCACTGTTCCACATGACAACTGTTTAAGGGAGATATTTCATTATTATATTCAGAAGTTAAATAAATCACCCAACTATATATCCCAAATATTATATTCAGAAGTTACTCTGCAAATGAATGACAAAATCAGCACTCAAACCCAGATATTCTGATGCCAGAATATATACTCTTTTTATTTATTTATTTAAGAATATATGCTCTGATCTACTCAGCCTTTTACACATTCCTCAAATGTTTCATAGATATGAAAGAATCTGACTCAAAAGCATCCCCAAAGAAAACTGGCCTTTTGCACTAGATATCTAACACTGAAGTTTTATATTTGTGCCTCTACACATAAAAAGGGCTGCAGGAAGCATAGAGTAAAGGTCTGAGCTGTTTTATTTCTTTACTTAGATAATCCTGTTATATATTTTTGCTCGTGGTTGTAATCCTTTCTTACATTTTACTTTCCTCACTATTAGGTAATCAGGAGACACTTCCCTTAAGAACCAACTCATGAACTTAATTCACGCTATTTCACAGTAACACCCCATTAATTTGAGCTGAGAGAAGGCAGTCTTGATGAGTCATTAATTCATTCATCAAGAATGGTTTATAAATTACCTACTATGTACTAGCCTTCATTTCATGCAGAAAGCAAGATAAACAACCCTGCTTATTTTCTAGTGGATGGTAGGAGGGGGAAGCTGTGTATGATCAAATCAATAAAAGTAACCAAAGAAAGTATTTTACAGAGCATTATAAAAGGGTAGGTAGATAGTAAGAAATTTGATGGCTATCCTCCTCACCCTACTGTTTTGGGGATTGAACCTAGGGGTCTTGCTCCTGCAAGGCAAGCACTGCCATTGAGCTACATTCCTGCCCTTGGATAGCTATCCTTATATTGGATGGATTTGTTTCCCTGATACCCACAGCTAATAAAAAACAAACTGGCTTTATATTAATTTATAATTAGAAGCAAGTTTTGGTATGCTATTATATAATAGTGTTACTAGAGATAACAACAATGTACTATACATTTCAAAAAGCCAGAAGAATTTTAAAGTTTTTGCCATAAATTAAAAAATGTAGGAGATAAATGTTTAATCTGATTAACATTACAGTGTAAACATGTATCAAAGCATTACATGGTATCCCACTAACATGTACAATTTTTGTTTCTATTAATTAGTTTAAAAAGATTAAAAAATTAAATCTGGCATCTCACTGGGGAGGACAGCAGTGGCCTCATGGCCAGCTAGATTGTTTGTATCCTAAATTCTATGTAATAGTGGGACAGTGTAGAAGTAGTGTTGAAAGGTCTGTTCTGCAGATGAGTGACCAGAGGTTATACTGATCCAAGGGAGCATTATAATACCTCGATTGAAGTGAAAATGTAAGGAAGAGACTGTTCAAAGAACATTTAGAACACACATCAACAGAACTTTTATTTTTAAACAGCTGGATGAAGAAGGGAAGGGAAGGAGTTGATCATTCTGAAGTTTCTAGATGATTTGTGTGCCATTAACAAAGACTATAAACACTGCAGGGAACAAATTTGAGATGAACTTGATTTGGGTCAACAGTGAACTTTGATGGAATTCCTACCCATCTCCCCTTGCTTCTCCAAAAAAAAAAAATTAGCACGTAACATATATTTTATACATTTATTCACTTATTGCCTATCTCCATATCCTTCATCACTCTAGAAATCTGAGTCATCCCAGGAGGGTAGGAATACTGTCTGTTTGGTCTAAGGAATTTATGTTTTATTTTCATATCTATAATACATTGTGTAATGCTTGGGCCTGTATAGATTTAGTTACACTAAATTAAAAATACACCAAAGAGGGGCCAGGGATTTAGCTCAGTGGTTTCGTCGCTTGCCTTGAAAGCACAAGGACCTGAGTTCGATCTCTGGTACCAAAAAAACCCCAAACAAACCAAAGTTATAACACTATCATACTTCCACATAAGACCCTATACCCCATAATCCCAGATTTTGGCTACCTCTATGCATCTGAGTTATTTGGTGTTCACCTATTTCAAATTCTTGATGCTTCTTAGAGTCACTTGAACTACTTTTGGGGTCTTCTGGTCTCTGAGAAAAATCATGCCATATTTTAGATCAAGGTGCCTCAATTATTTTCAAGGCCCCTTATTATTATTTTTTGGTACCAGGGATCGAACTCAGGACCTTGTGTTTGTGAGACAGGCAGCGGAACCACTGAGCTAAATCCCCGGCCTGCCCCTTACTATTTTTAAATTGGTGTCTTCCCTTCTAAGAAACTGTTTTAAAATATCTGGCAATTTAAAATTGAATTTAAATCTCAGTATTTTAAATAAAGACCAGGTCATATCACACTGATCAATAGTCATGACAAAATAGGGTTAACACACAGATAGGCTAAAATCTAGTCGCAAGGGAAATATCTTTTGGAATGTGTGTGCTGCTTGCAGGTCAAAGTCTGACAGGTGTTACGTTTTATACATAAAATGTTCCCCCAAAGTTTCACATGTTCAGAGGGGCTTTTGAAAGGTGACTGGATTATGGGGGCACTAAACACATCGGTGAACTAACCTATTGATAAGTTTATAGCTGAATGTGCTGTTAGGTAGGGCCTGGTTGGAGGGGATATGTCACTGGGACATGACTAGAAACGTGTACTGTATTTTTGTCCCCAGCTCGTTTTCTCTGTTTCCTATCATGGGCTGAGTGGCTTTCCTCTGCTGCTCGTTTTTTTTTTTTTTTTTTTTGGTACCTGGGATTGAACTTGGGACCTTATGTTTGCGAGGCAGGTGCCGGAACCACTGATCTAAATCCCTAGCACTCTGCTGTTCTTCTACCATGTCATTTCTGACCTGTAGCCAGCTAACCATGGACTGAATCCTCTTAAACTGTGAGTCAAATAAATCTCCTGTCTTTTAAGTTGCAGGTGTCAGGTATTTTGTAACAGAGATGGTAAAATGACTAATACAACAGGCCTCTGGCACTAGAGAACGTGGTTCCTGGGCCTCTTTTTTTTAGGTCTCCTAGTAGTCCTGTCTTGGTCTAGAAACTTGGTATTGGCAAAGGAAGGATATTAACACTGAGGACAACAGGACTTTCACAAACTCCTGAATAAACACTATCTATTCAGAATGGAAAAGTAGTATCTAGATGCTACAATACCTACAAATGAGTTTGTAGCAAACATTAAGGGAAAAAGGTCACAAAGGTTAACATCTTGATATAGCGATTAAAACCATTTGGAGCTTCTATATTGTATTTTGTCTTTAGAACAACTCTAGGGAGGTACTATTTTTTATTTCACAGAAAAAGAAACTAGCCTTCAGAAAAGCTAAGTGATTTGCTCTAGGCCTTATGAGCCAGCAAGAGGCAGGGGTGGCAAGCACTAATGTTGAGGTAAAAGGTCCAGTGACTTCATTTAAGACACTAATTTTCTCTCTGGAAGAGGACTGCTTAGGCAAGCCCCTGGAATTTCTCATGTGTCATAAATAAAATTTCAGTTCTAGACTAAGCACGTTCTGTCAATAGTTATCACAGATGATTACATAGTATTATCTTTATCTGGGTTGGTTTGTTCTTCATGGTCCCAGTATCTCCAACTCAAGAGGTAATATTGCAAATTCAAATTAGTTAACTGGTACATAATAGGAAACATAGTAACTATCTGCTACATGAAAAATATTCAATTAATGGGAAATTAGTGGAATCAACTTCTTTATGGATATTTTATATCAATATTAAGGCAGTTATTAACTGCTCTATCAATTTGCTGTCATACTAACCAAATTATTTTCTGAGCCACTACTACGAACCCAGTGCTGTCTAGATTGTATAAGTAGAGATGATGATTAGCTAACATCGTATGCTTTTCACATGCTGACATTTGTTTTCCATGTATGTGTTCATTTGGATTTCACTGAATCCTCGTAATATTCCTGTGAGGTAGGTACTACATAACCCTCATTTTATACGTTAAGGAATGTGAAGCTTAGAAAGATAACTGTATTGTTCAAAGTAATATAGCTAATAAATGGAGCCAGGATTCTAACCTAGGTAACCAGGATTCTAATCTAGGCTCCAGAGCTGTAACTCTACTGGACTGGGATTTCCTATTATAAAAGACAATACCTGCCCTTGAAGTATGTGCACTTTTGATAGGAAAGGTTAAAACTTGCAACTATCAGAGTTGTTTTCTATTTTTTTTATACTGGGGATTGAACCCTTCTCATTGAGCTATACTCCCAGTCTTTAAATTTTGAGACAGAATCTTGCTAAGTTACCCAGGCTGAGGTCAAACTTGTAATTCTGCTCCCTTAGCCTCCCAGAGTACTGGGATTACAGGTGTGCACCACCACACCTAGCCTACCAGATTCCTGAGTAGAGGAGGAATGTGGAAATATTCTGGATACCTGGGCTATTGTCTGTATGAGTATCTACATAACTAAGTATCACAGATCTACTAGTGCTTTAATGAAATTCATTTGGTATTCACAGGATGACATGAACCACAGAGGAGGAAGACCAGCTAAAACTTAACTTATCGAGCAGTCTTAGTATCACAACAGTAAAAACTAAGAAAGATGGTAAAGAATACTTATTCATTTAGCAAATTATTTATTGTACTGAGGGGACAGCAATTAACACATCTTCAGTCAACATATGTTCTAATGGGGCATGGAAGTAGGGAAAAAATACTAAACATCTTACACAAAATGGAGCAAATTACTCCATGAAAAGTAAGGAGTGCTAAGACTCTATAGCACTGACATAGTTTGAGGGGGGTAGGGAAGGCCTCCAAGAGGTAATAGTATTTCAAATGAGCCTTAAAGGGTGAATGAAAGACACACACTGTACACTGAAGCCCCCAGGCAGAAATGATGCAACTCACTTGACATACATAGGAGAGCCAGCATGGCTAGAATGAGGGAACAGACTTGAGATAAGCCTGGTGAGACAAGCCTGGTGAGACAGCTGGGAGCCAGAATATGCAAGGCTTTTCCCTTTTGATTTTTAAAAAACTACTCTGGCTACATGTAGGTGGATGAATTGAAAAGGGACAAAAGTCAATACAGAGAATGCAGTCAGGAGGCTATTACAGAAGCCTATGCAAGAGTTGAACTGGCTTTTGGACTGGCTCATAGCAGTGGACATGAAGAGATCTTCAAATGGATTAATGTGTGACAGGAAGCAAGGAAATATCAGGAAGAGTACTTAAGCATTACCTTTCATCAAACATGGGGATAATTTTGTTTACCAACACAGAAATGACTGGAGAAAGGCTTGGTTTAGTAGGAAAGACCGTGAGTTCACTTTGGGAAGTAGTTTCAAGTGGCTGAGTCATTAGAGTAGAGATTTAAGAAAGCAGTTATTCGACTACAAAGATCACACTGGCCATTCCACTTCATGAGTTTAGGTAATAATGTTAAGTAGCATCAGATGAGAGACTATGAATTTGTTCTTTCTTCAGTTAGTTTCAGATCTCTTAAGTCTCTTTAGCACAAGCACTTTGCTATGCTGAGTGTGATTCTAGTGTTTAAAGATAGAGTATGTTATTTTTCATACAACATGGCCTCTAAACACAAGCCAATTTCTTCATCTGGTTTTCAACAGAACCAACCATCTGTTTTAAGCTGTAAGAAAAGCAGGTTGTGTTGAACTTCCCGAGATCGTACACTGATCTCCAACATGGTGCTCTCCTAGAATATTTTCTAGGGTAATACTGACTATATGTAATTTTCCTCTTAGGTGCTGACTTTAGAACTAGTTTAAAATGACCTACTGAAGAGAGAATGCCTGTGGACTTACTGGGTTGAGAAAGGCCCAAGTAAGAAAACTATACCCTAGAGATACGGTATTGTTTTTCTGCTTCATTTTCTATCCCCCTGGATTCTTGAAGCGGCCTATGGGTCTTGTAGCTACTTGAACCTACCTTTTTTTTTTTTTTTTTTTGGTGCCGGGGATCGAACGCAGGTCCTTGAGCTTGTGCTGCAAGCGGCGAAACCACTGAGCTAAATCCCCGGCCCGAACTTACCTTGTTTACTTTGGACCTAAATCTTTTTTTTTATGGTACTGGGGATCGAACTGAGGACCTTGTGCTCCCGAGGCAGGCGCGGCGCCACTGAGCTACATCTCCGGCCCTGGACTTAAATCTTTTGCCTACATGAGTTGCAATTATTTCCAGTCCCTCCTATTCTCCTGTTTCAGAAATTCTTATTTACTGAAAAAGGGTAAATCCAGTAGACACTTTAAACGAAAACGCGATGAGCTACACTTGTCACATAAAATTGTAACAAAAACCAAAATCTGTTAGAGTCAGCGCATCCTTCCAAGGCCAGGTGTGGTCTATTGAGTTTTACCAAGCCAAGTAACTTGGAAGCAAGAAAATTCTGCCCTCTGCTGCTGAGTTATGGAAATGTCGCTAGCCCAATTGTTTTTGTGAGGGGAAACTACACTACATGCAAAACAGCAGGCAAAGAGAAGACAGCAAAGCCCTGCCTCTTTTTGTTGGACTTCTGTCTCCAGGAGATCCTAATTAAACACGATCGCCCTAGCATTCAAACATCAAGCAAAGTAAATTGGGTTTCAAAGGCAGGATTTTTTTTTCCTTCCTGTTTTTTAAACTGACTTCACCTTCGGTTAGAAAGGTTACCACCTGGTTATTTGGCCGAGAAGTGGGTCCCGGGTGGGTCCCTGCGCTCCCCGTAGCCTGCACTTAGCCTCTCCGCCCTGGCCGAGCAGTGTCGGAGGCCCAGGTGCGCGGTTCTAGAAAGCGCAGCCCAGAGTGTACACTGCGGGTAGGGACAGGACGTTTACCTGGAGCCGGTCCCCACCAAGTAGGTGTTGGTGCCTCGCAGGGTCATAGGACCAGGATTACAGCCTAAAACGCGCACCACACGACAGGACAGCCTTTCAATGCACGGCAGCGCAACAGCCATCTCCACCCCAGCTTTTCACCCGTCAGTTCCGAATCAGGATTCCGCAGCGTGGAGCCAAAAAGTAGGCCGAATGGGCGGGGATAGAGCCACGTGACACCTCGCGCGCCCGGAGGGAGGGGTATTAGCCGATGGACTGGGCGGGGCCACTCACTTGTCGGAAGACGCCCCTCAGTCGTGGGCAGGACCTGGTAGACGGGTCAGAGGCGGGGCCGGCGACCACCTGACCCCGCGTGGGTTGCTAAAGCAGCGGCGGCCGGAGCGAGTTCGTTGGCGTGCCACCTTCTGCGGTCTGAAGCGCCCAGAGGCGAGGCTGGATCGTGATTCAGCGGGACTTACAGAGTTGCCTCAGAGTACTTTATGCTTTTGCAAGCAAGTGCGTGAATGTGGATGAGAGACCCTTTCACCAGGAAAGCTGATAGATCGGGGCAGGCAGGTTTAGGATTGAGTACCGAATCCTGGAAAGTACCGCCGCTCAGGATTATAAGTAGTGGTGGTGGTGTCTGAGGGGTGGACTTTTTCCTCTTTTATTAGTAGTGGTAACTAATGCTTAGTATGGCGTTTAGTTCCGTGCTGAGTGCTTTTTACATACATCTCAATCCTCAAAATAACCCTAAGAGGTAGGCGCTATTTTGTCTCCATTTTATAAATGAAAAACGAAGTTTGGGACACTTGCTTAGGTATCAGAGCTGTGAACCGAGTTCTGTGCCTGGGGCTCCTAGTTCCCTCGCGCCAGTACCCTCCCTCATGTGCGAGTGTAATTTTGAAAAGGGGTGGTGGTGGTGGGAGCTGCTCGAGTCTTAGGAAGAGCCCTATTTATGGTGTAGGAGAGTACTCCTACATTCTCTTCTGCACTTTGGACCTCCCCGGGAAATAGGTTGATTCTGTGGAGTTTTGTGCCCAAGAAGGAAGTGTCTCGGCCAAGTTGGAAAATTCTCCACTTTTAAAATTTGAATTATGTTACAGTTGAAAAAAAAAAAAAAAAAAAGCACGGTCCTGTGAGCAATTCCTTCAAGGTAAGACAATTGTATTAACTACTCCCAAAGACATGTGGAACATGTTTACTGTCCCACTCTACTTTGTAAATTTTTTTTTATTAGTACATGCTTGTAGTGTGTAATATTTACATTTCTTGTGGGGAGTTGGTATGTATACACAATACATTTTAATTCCTTTTTTCATCCCCGTTCTCTTCCTTTCCTCCCTCTCCTCATCTCTTGATCCCCTCCCCTCTTTTTTGAGTACATGTTTGCAGTGCATACATGTTAATGTTCTTATGTGGAATTACTTTTTTTTTTTTTTTTTAAAGAAATGAACGTTGAATGTGTAGTTCTAAAATTTAGAATAAGGGATGGGGATTTAGCTCAGTGCCTGGCAAGTGAAAGGTCCTGAGTTCAATTCCTGGTTAACCGCCCCCCCCCTCCGAGATATACAATTTAGGATAATTATTTTTAGCATTTTTTAACAAGAGACTTCTTGCTACTGATGTTTAGTTTACAATTCAGCAGTTTAATATTTCAGATCATCTGAAAAACGTGTAAGAAATTTGTCTTAAAAATGTACATTTAATTGAAAAGTTTCAAAAGTTGTTACTGAAGTAATCATTATAAATCATCCGTGGGCTAAACAATATACCCTTTATAAGTGCTTGGAGTAATCATCAAAACCTGTCAGACATTTTCATCCTACCAGTATTTATTTATAGCCATCAATTAATGGCTATTCAGGCAGGAAGTTACCTTTATTTTGCCTTTTTAAGATGTCTGCTGGAAGGTTCATGAACCCTAGAGAAGAGGATGAAGTAGTAATTTCTGGATCATAGTCTTCCTGAGACTCTGGGCAACTTCTTCCCCCACCGTTTAATCATTACAATATCCCTTGTAATTCTCATGATTTCATTTAATTCATTGCCAAGCTCTGCATTTGACACATGAAGAAATTGACCCAATAAGTGATGTCAGTCAAATGATTTGCATAGGGTCATATAAAGAAATGGTAGAACAGAAAGGATAATGAACATGGATTAAAAAACTCGAAGTTGAGGTGGTTGTGGGGTGCTGTATATAGGGTGAGCTCAGAAGAGAGATCTAGACTGCACATAAAAAACCCGAATCTTCAGGGTTACATTTAGCAATGTGACTTGAAGTTTAAGTACATCTCCAAGAAATAAGAGCAAAGATTTTTACATTCTGTCTAGTTATATTCACAAGCATTTAGTCCATCTCTAAGAGTTGCCAAAGCCCTGGCGGTTTCATGTTGCTGAATACTCAGAGTTCAGAGTTGCCTCTGAGATTTAAGGCGGACTATTAGGTGTGAGCCTTTATAAAAATGAAAGGAAAGTTAAATGCTTCCAACAACAATGGCACAAGATAAACATTATCATTCCAATAGGTACAAATGGGGGGAATGAATGAAATGAATGAATGAAAAGGAATGCGACCAAAGCAAGACCTAAATCCAGCAGGGAAGACATTAAAATCCATAGTTTCACGTACAGCACCCAGAGAAATCTGTGGCAAGATGTGAACTCCAAAGGGCTTGGACAGCCCTGCCCCTCTAGCATCACTGGTGGTTGTAGTCTTCTCGAGTTCTCTCTCTCTTTTTTTTTTTGGTACCAAGGATCAAACTCAGGGCCTTGTGCTTTTGAGGCAGGCAGCAGCACCACTGAGCTAAATCCCTGGCCCTTCTTGGGTTCTCTCTTGGGCCATCTTCGCTCGCTTCTTGTAGCTTTCCTCAGACATTCTGAGATCCTGGCTTCTCCAACATTCTGAGGTCTCCACTGTACTCCCTTCACGGAGCTTCACACACTGCCCTCTCAGGAGCACTACTGCCTGGCCTCCAAGGCCTGAAATCTGGGTGGAAGGCTCCCTGACCTTACATGTCTTGCATTCTGCATGTGTATAAATCCAACACCATGTTGATGATGCCAAGGTCTGCCTCCAGCAAGAGCGATAGCCAGACTTCCTTCTGTCATGGCTGTAGGAAGTCTCTTGAGTGCCTGGATGGCTGATCACTGAACTGAATCCGGAGGAACAAATTCCCTAGGCAGCCACCATTCTGGACCTTGGCACCCTAGGGTTCCCTTTTCAAAGCAAAGGCATTCACCTTTGCAATTTTGAACCTTGCTGACTTCTCATATTCCCTCAAGGCATTTTTCCTTTTGTCCAGTTCCAAAATACTTAGCTTCCTGTTAATGCTAATCCTTTTAACAACCAAGTTCTCTTCTGCTCCATTTTTGCAGGCCCCAACTTTACCAGAGTTGCCTTTCTGACCAAACTCAAAACTTTTTAAATCATTCTGCTGGGCTATTTGCTCTTGCTTTTCAAAGTTGAGCTGGCTAAGAGCCCCCAACAGTAGCTGTGCCACTGTCTCAACATTAGACTGCCTTGAAATTTCTTCTACCAGATTAATTGGTCTGCTGCCCTTAATTTTAGTGTACGGCAATGTCTCAAGACAGGAGGAAAATGTAGACAAATTTTCTGGTAGAGCATAACACACATATTCTGGAGTCCAATTGCCAATGGAGTCTTTGTTCCCAACTGAAATCTCCTGAGCCTAGTCTTCACTGGCTGGATTTTTACCAGCATTCTGGTCTGAGCTCTGACTAGAATCTCTCATTAAACTCAGCTCACAGCATTCTAGGACTGCTTCTCCAGCTGGTATCTCCAGACCTTTCCAGACTCCTCATGTGAGCCAGTTTCAAAGGCTTTTCAACTCCATGGCCAGGTAACATCACAGCAACAACTCCACTTCTCTGGTACTAAAATCTGTTTTAGTCATTTTCTCATTACTAGGACACCTACAAATTAAAGGAGAAGAAGCTCACAGTTTGTAGAGGTTTCAGTCCTTAATCAGAAGGCTCCAAGGCAGGGTGGCATGGAAGTGGGGCATGGCAGAGGAGAAAGTGCTCATGACATGGCAGGAATCAAAGGATGAGGGAGGGAGACAATCTTTCTAGGCCACACTCCGAGAGACCCACCTTCACAAACCAGACTTTACCTTGAAACATCACATTTAGCTATAAACTCATTAGTAGCCAAATCCACTCATGAGTGTCACATTCTCATGTTTCAGTCAACACCTCAAAGTCTCACCTATGAGTGCATGAGGCTTTGGGGAACATCTATATATAAACCATAACACAGGCTAAGTTAATAATACTTGTAAATTCTTTGTCAGCTTAGTTCAAATTTAAGAATCTGTGAGTCCTTGACAAACATGGGTTATTCATGTGGATATGCTGTGAGGCAAGTCATTTTCTTAAGACTTAATTGGCAAATCAATGAAAGCTTTGAATCTAATCCGCCAGTAAAAGGAGCTATGCTGTTTCTTTTCCTCAGTGAGGTAATTATAAAGAGGTGTACTGTATCTACAGTGACACAGACTGTTATCACTAGATTAGAAATTGCCACATGTGACAAACATGATTTCAGTTTCCTTTTAGTATTCAAGCTTAAAGGAGTATATGCCCTATAATTATACTTATTATCAGTGAAGAAGAAATAAAAGATTCAGAAGAAGAAGATTTTTCAGATGGGATTTTTGAATTAAAGAAGACATATTGACAAGTAAGTCTATATTTTATATAGATTAAATTTGGTTGATAATTTTAATTTCTTTAAATATCATTGTTTTAAAGAGAGATCATGTACAAGGGTGAAGGTTATGTATTTTGAGTGACAGCCAGATAGCTACACAGCTAGGTTCACTTTAGAATAAAATTGAATTGAAATTGTCCTATTAAGTCAGTAAGTATAACAAGTCCCCTAAAAGGTAAATTTTGTAGATGGTTTTACTTTTCCTAAGGTGGTATTGGAATAGTGATCAGATATAGATGTAGAGATAAATTGTCTTTAACTCAGTTATAAAACTATGTGGCTTTTGTGGGCTGTCTTTATGAGAACTGCTGTATTGATTAGCTTGCTGTGTAGATTTCCTTCCAATTGGAGTTATGTTCTACCTGACTAAATTAGGAATATGGACATTGTCATATCAGATTAATCTGTTTAATATTCTGTCAATAATCGAATTTCTGTTTCTTAGAAATAATTCTCATCTTGTAAAACTTGACATAAAATTGCTGGGCTTTTACTTGTTCATGACAGATAAAGAAGTTTTCTTTGTGGACAGAGAGATTAAGAAATGCCTCACAGATTGCTGAGCTATTGTGTGTAGTTTTAAGGAAGTTATTTATAAAATCAATTTATATAGAATTTTAGCAGAATTGTTGCATTTTAGTCAAATTCTAATATTCTCAATATGTGTTTAGATTATAAAGTTTTGCTGAGAAAAGTCTAGAAAATGAATTAAAGAATTTTAATTAGAAAAGTCTAACCTTGCATCCTTTGCCATTCTAACCATATTCCTTTCCCTTTTTATTTTAATACAGAGAACAGTAATACACTATAGTTTTAGTCTCTCTCAGATCTGTAGGTGCTATGCCCACGTGTCATATTCAAGCAGCTTTTAATATTTTCTGTTCTCTCTTCATAGGCTGTGTAATATATTTTTGTGGTTATGATCCAAGCATTGGAGGCAGACGGACTTTACTCGGTAGAGATAACTCACCTTAAAAATCCAATGTCTCTAACCCTCAATTTTCTGTCAGCAAAATGGAACTAATAATACCTTTTTTCACAGGACTTTGTGTGGATTTAGTGAAATAATGTATTTGATGAAATAATACAAAACATCTCCCTCATGGTAAAGTTAGTAAGGGTAGGTACTGTTACACTATTTGTTTTTCTATTCTATATGGATTTTACCCTAGATAGTAAATCCTAAAATGTCACATTTTTAATAATGATGTTGGATCAGGATTTAGATACACATTATACTTATTTTTTTTTTGCACTGAGGATCGAACTCAGGTCCTTGTGCTTTCGAGGGAGGCGGCGGAACCACTGAGCTAAATCCCCAGCCCACAGATACACATTAAACATACCAATATAATCATACTAAGAAATCTCTGCCAGTATTTTATGAAACTTCTGTTTCTGGAGGATATACTTGAAGTCTAGTTGTTCTTTCCATGTGAAAAACTTTCCATTTGATATTCACATGGCTAATTCTACTACTCACATGCCTGCTTCTCAGTGAGTCCAGCCCTGATCCACGTAATTAGAATTACAGCTCATGAAGTACCCACTTCTACTTCAACTCCTAATCTTCCTTAATATATTGTTTTTCTCCTGCACAGCACTTGTCATCTTCAGCTATATTTAATTTACCTATTATTTTTATTGTTAATTGACTTTTTGTGTTAGGATGTGAGTTTCAAAAGGGCAGGGATTTTTGACTTTTTTTATCATTTGATTTATCCTGACAGCCTAAAAACAGTTTGAAAGGGTCGCCGAAAGGAAGGGGCACACGTATGTTCAAGCCAGCTTTATTGGGGTGGCAGTCTGCAGCCTGCCAGGACTGATTCACAAAATGGAGACCAGTCGTTGGCATGAGCTGAGCTGGAGGCTTATATGGGGTTTTTGCATATGGGAGAGCATGTAGTCCTTTGATGGGGGTGGGTGACTGCGGTTAGGTCATATAGAAACAAATTCTGGTTGGGGGTCGGAGAAACAGGCTCCAGGAAGTCCCTGTCTCACGGGAGTATCTAGTGGGATGAAGTGACAAGCTCCAGGAGGTCCCTATCTTAAGGGAACATTTGGTCAGGAAACCGGTGTGGTAGAAAAGCCCCTAACTCAGTAGGAGGTCATTACCTAGGAGGGGTCAAGCCTTAGTTATGTAGAAAGTCTCTGTTCGCCTTTAGGGAGGAGGACAGGGAGAAGGGGTAGGGAGCTTGTTCTGTGGGGACTTTGGAATACCTAACACAGCTCACAGTAGATTCTAAGTAAATAATTAATTCAGTTGAACAGAACCTCCTCATTAATCGCTTCTTCCTAAACCTCATGTATTTGTTGGACTTAATTTCTTTCATATTAAGACAAGAAACTTACTTCAGGAAAATTTATGGCCTGCTAGATTAGGAAAATTGAAATTTGAAATTATTTTTTCCATCCTGTTGGCCACAGCCTTCTTTGTTTTGGTCTGTAAGAAGAGTGAAATACCATTTAATATTATTCAGAAAGCTTTTAAACAAAATGATTTAAAATGGTAGAATGAGAAGTACACCACAGATATTTGTATTTTAGTATTGCTTTCCCCTCTGGGTTTTTCAAGTAATACATGTTCTTTATAGAAGATACAATGTGTTAACTACTCTGGTTGCCCTAACAGAATAATACAAACTTTTTGGTTTAAACAACCGAAGTTAATTTTCTCACAGTTCTGGAGACTGAAGTCCAATTTCAAGGTGTCATCAGGGTTGATTTCTGGTGGATTCTCTCTCCTTTTATTGCAGATGGCTGCCTCCTTGCTCTGTCCTTACAAGGTCTTCCTCTGGTATTTCTCTTTTTATAAGGACAACATTTCTATTGGATGAATACTCTAGAACTCACTTATCATTAATTACTTCCTTAATGACCCTGTCTCTAAATACAGTCTCATTTGGGGGTTAGGGCTTCAATATATGAATCTTGAGGGAGGAATGGTTTAGTTCATAATATATAGAAAAGGATGATAAAGAAAAATTAATCTATAATGCCACAGTTAACATCTCAAAAAAATTTTCACCATATTTCCTTAGCATTTTCAAATCTTAGACAACATACCATAGTACTTTTTCACTTCACATTATATAAAACGAAGTCAGGGGATTGCAAACTCAGATATAACGGAAATTCAAGGTAATGATAACATTTCTTTTTTTTTTTTTGGTATCGGAGATTGAACTCAGGTCCTTGTGCTTGTGCAGCAGGCAGCGAAACCACTGAGCTAAATCCCCGCCCCAATGATAACATTTCTTGAGCCCAAATCTGTTTCAAATACTCTTCTATATATATGTTATGTATTATCTTTCTTTCTTTCTTTTTTTTTGGTACCGGGGATCAAACTCGGGTCCTTGCGCTTGCAAGGCAGGCGGCGGAACCACTGAGCTAAATCCCCAGCCCTGTATTATCTTTCTTGACCTTCACAGATACTCTATGAAGAGTATACATTATTATCTCTATATTTTAGATGAATAGGAAGCAAAAGAAAATGTTTAAGGACACAGAGCAAGTGGATAGCTCCATTAGCACTGAGACTCAGCTTTTGAAATGACTAAAATGGGCCAGATGGCTACTGTGGTAAACTGCATAGAGCACACTACAAGTAATGAGCAGCCACTCCTTATGAAGAAGTGGTAGTGTAGGCTTTTTTTTGATAGCAGACAGAAATTGTGTGTGTGTGTATGTGTGTGTATAATGTTGGCAATTGGGAACACAAATGAACACTTGAATCACACAAATATTGTCTACAGTTTGCATTTACCACGTTTATGAAGCAGAAATTATAATAGTAGTATGGTATCCACAGTTTAAATTTGATAAAATTAAATTAGAATATTTTATGTACAACATTTAGCTCCATGCCTAGCACATAAGGCTATATAAATGTTAGCTCTCATTAGTAGGATAAACATTTTCTCTAGTCATCAAAATTCCCCATAAGAATAATTTGCCATTGTTTTTATCCTAAGAGTTTATAAAAATAATGCATAAATACATGAGTATGTTGTAAAAACTCAGGGTTTTTATAGAAAGTAAATGACTAGAGTTGCATTTACTTCCTATACCCCTTTCCACTGTCCATATAAAGTGTAATTAAAAACCCTAAAGGCTATGTCTATCTTTCTGGTAACTCTGTTCATCTAATACTTCTTGGAGATCTTCTGAAGTCAGTTTAAACAAAGTTAGTACATTTTTTTAAAGGTTGCATGATATATCCTTTACTATGGATGTATCATAATTTATTGAACTAGGCCTCTTAATTGTCCTTTTGCTAGTTTTCAGTTTTTTGTTGTTATAAAATAGACTCTGCAAAGGATACATATCTTTGTGCATATCTATGAACATTTCTCTAGGCTAGAATCCTGCAGGCAATTTCTGTTTCAAAGCATACTAAAATTTTCACAGCTATTCTATCTTTGCTAAATATATTATAGTAACTTTATAATATTTGATTTTGTAAATTTTATTACATTTTTATCTTTATTTTATCTTTATTAAAAATTTATCTTTATTTACTTTACTGTTTTCTTATGATGACACATGAAGGCAGTTTCCAGTTTTTACCACTATACATGATCTTGTGGTAAATATTTTTGTGAGCAGATTTTATTTTTAAAAGATAAATACTTTAGTCTGAGAGGAAGTTGTCAACTAGTAAGTAGGTTGCTGAGACTTTACCTTCCAAAATCTATTAAAAGACCTGTATGTAGTGGCAATATATTATTCTTAGAAAAAATAAAGTCAAGGATCAGGCTTTAAATTTAAATTATTAGAAACTCACAGTTTTGTTTCATTTTAGGTATTGTCATCTGTAATGAAGATCACTGTGAAAGAGAAGGTTGAATAACACTGGACCTGGATTAGAGATTTAGAAAAGAAAATTAAAATTAATCACTTCAGTTTTTGTGTTCAAATTTCATAATATTTATTATTTTTCTAAACAGATTTAGGGAGTAGAAATTAAAATTCAGTGCCATACCAAAGGATATCCTAATATTTGTTCTGGCATGATTTTCTTTGCATATGAGAGAAGAGAATAGATAGCTAAGAGCTATAGTTGTTCATAATGAAGTACACTAAATCCAATTTTATGATGTCAGTTCTTGGCATTATAATCTATATAACTGATTTAATTGTGGACATCTGGGTATCTGTCAGATTTTTCCATGAAGGACAGTATGTTTTTGGTGTTTTAACATTAAGCTTTATGCTTTTTGGAACACTAGTGGTCCAGTGTTTTAGTTATTCTTGGCTGAAAACTGATTTGAAGAAAGTAAGTCAAGAAAGTCAGCATTGTTTTCTTCTACTTCATTGCTTACAAGGAGGAGTTTTTATAAGGTGAGTCTACACTTTTGATCACTAACATTGTTATTCATTTATCCAAATTTTTTTTTATCCGAATATTAACTAGCTTTTTGTGTCTGGGAAGTCAAATGTGCAAAGGTCTCCTATTTGTAAGTAGCACAAAGGTTACTTTCTCTTCATTGTTGATGTCTATATGAGTCATTGCTATACTGTCAGACTTTTCCAGATTCATTAATACAGTATTTTAATTACCCAATTAAGTTACTTTTTCTGCTATGTACTCACTTTGATCCTTTTATGTGTATTCTAAATCTGATAGTGCAAATATAGCCTATCATTTGCAACTCTGAGAGAACACTTATTTTTTAAAATTACTTCTACCACTGATTTGACTAAATGAAAATTGTACTATGAACTGTAGTTGTGTAGTTAGCTAGATACAAAGTCATAAGACAACTAAAATAACCTTGAAAATCATGTTAAAGCCTTATCTTCTGGTTAAAAAAACTAGAAACTAAATAGGCCTTGAGAATTTCATGAATATCTGTACTTCTAATTTAATATGATATTTTTATTATTAGTTGAGGGAATTTTTAAATCTTAAAATTAAAAAGTTAATGACACCTATTAAGAGAGGATAACATAGCACTTTTTACAGTTATATTTTGAGCAATTTTAATAGTTAACATAAAGGTTTATTTTTGATTTTGTCCTGTTAAATAGCAACAAATTCATGGCTACAAGTTGAAAATATTAAAAAAAATAAGTTTTAAAATTATATTTAAGTGATAATGTCATCATATTAGTATAGAGATTTATAGTTTTCAAGTATTTTCACACTTTGTCTTTTTAAAATAGTTATTAATATTATGATATGTAAGAGAAGTTTGCAGGTTTTAGGGATGCTGTAAAGAAAGTACTTCAGTTATTGGTATTGGAAGTCAGTTCTGGAACTGCACATTCTTAATATGAAAATGCTTAAAGGAGCAGAGTAAAAGCATTGGTAACCAAAAAGATATATAATACGTAAGGTTTAATTAGTGTTCCATATGAACAATAATTATGTAGTTATAATATCTGAAGGATAAAAATTAATTCCTCTTGCAGCATTTGGAAATGTGGTAAAGATGAGTTTATTTGTCATTCAATTAATGGAAAATTTTCACATCTGTAGAACTATTTTCATTGGTGTTTCAACCGATGACTTTAAGGTACTGTAAGATATTGTGTTATATATTATAAATTGTATTAAATACAAAATTGCTTTGACTTTGAGTGTTTCTTGATATGCTTAATAATAATTGGTAATATTTAATTTAATGTTATTCATATGAGACAAAATTACACAGGCTCTGGACAATGCTATTTTCCCTTTTTTCTGCTAGGCATTTAGAATAAATGGGAGTCTACTTTTGATTCACCTCTGCTCCTAAGGTACAGCTTCAGAGCACTGGGAGCCTCTTGTGATCACCCTTACCCTATAGATCCTGAACATTAGTCTTCATTTCCTTGGCATTACAAAATTACCAGAAACTATGCTTTACTTTTCAAAACTTTCTGCTTAATTTTCAGCCTCTACATTACAGTCTCAACATTTGACAAGTGTCTTATGGAGGAAGCTGACTGTGAGGTCCCACAGTTCTGTCAGATCTTTAAAATCTATGCTAATTTCTCTGTTTCCTTGCAAGGGGAATATCCAGACTTTCAGTTTCTTTTCTTGAGTGACAGTATCAGCACATACTTCTAGGCAATGAGCATCTGTAGAAACATCAACTCAGTTTCTAATTTCTCTAGTTATTTTGGCAGGAGTATTGCTCTGCTCTGCTATACTGCATTCTACCTAAAAGTGTAGTCTATAACGTGCAATTTTAAGTTGTCTTAACCATAATGTAAAACAAAGCCTTTACTGTTAATATTGATAATATAAAGATCTCAAAACACTTGAATTCCTTTTACTGTGTTCTCAATTTATACAGTAATGTTGCTGGCATTTTAATTCCTACTATAAATCTCACTAGGTGTCATTACTGTATTACTATATCTATCTTATCTAATCAAATTTTATTGAAGTTTTTTTTATATTTACTAGTCTTTATTTTTTCCCCTTCACAGCTGTATTATAACTTGATTTAACAATGTAGTAAATGCCAAAATCGATGATTCTTAACAGAGTATGTGGACAACAAAGTTAAAGAATACAGAGTGCTCAAAAAAGCATCTTGTTCAATACTGGTTCCTTCAAAATTACTATACTTCTGTGAAAGAAGCCCTATAATAAAGAAGACTAATTGCAATATGGAAGATCATTAAAAAAAAGTTCATTTGCCAATTTTGACAATCTGGAAAAAAAGAAAGTCTGACTGTAATACTTGATATAGACACGACGTTTAAGTTTTTTTTTTTTTTTTTTTAAGTTTTTTTTTTTTTTTTTTTCCCCAGTACCAGGGATTGAACTCAGGTCCTTGCACTTGCGAGGCAGGTGATGGAACCACTGAGCTAAATCCCCAGCCCTGATATTTAAATTTTTATTCCTCTTGAGTCACTTGTTTTCCTGCCTTTCTGAAGTCCATCTTTTAGAATTTCATCCACTGAAGCCCTGTTGTTGATATCTGTCAAATTTTGATGACTCAGAAATTCTGTAGTCACTGAAGAATTCGTGATAAGTACTCACAGTATTTTCTCTGCATATACCTTCTCTTGTTTTGGTCTCCATTGTTTCTCTGGAGAAGTTAGATTTCAGACTTACTTGCTCTTTTGAAGTTACTTTGTCTTTTTCATATCTGGATACTCTTGTGATTTTTCTGTTTGTTTTAGAATTTCACACTTTATGATATGTTTAAGCATAGGTTTCTTTTTTGGTACCGGGCTTCAAACTTGGGACCTTGCGCTTGTGAGGCAGGTGGTGGAACCACTGAGCTAAATCCCCGGCCTAGGTTTCTTTTTATATCTCTTGTTTGGGACTTGCTGATCCTCTTGATTCTGTGATTATCTTCCACCATTTTGGCACAATTCACAGCTATTATCTTTTTTAGCATTTTCTTTACCACATTTTGTCTCTTTTCCTTCTGGGACTGCAATCAAATTTAAGTTAGACCTTCTTGCTGTATCTACATGATAGCTTTTTATTTTTTTAAATTAAAAATTTTTTTTTTCTGGTACCTGGGATCAAACTCCTGACTTTCCGCTTGTGAGGCAGGTGGTGGAACCACTGAGCTAAATCCTTGGCCCTACATGATAGCTTTTTAAAATACTTTTAACTCTTTGTGGTACAGTTTGTATAATTTTTTCATAATTTAAAAAATTTCGTAGTTGTTTTTACTTCACAAATATTTTCTTTTGCAGTAGTCAAGATGTTATTACATCTAACCACTGAGTTTTAAATTTGGATATTATTTTTTTATTTTTAGAAACTCTGTTTAAGTCTGCAATATCACTTTATAGTTTCTTGTTCACTGAAGATATTTTCAGATTTGTGTTTTATATCTTTGAACATAATAAATGTTTTATTTATAATATATAAATATAAGTATAAAATATAAATATAATAAAATATAAATAGAATTATGTATTATAAATATAAGTATGTTTTATTTCTAATTACAGTATCTGAAGCTTTTCAGCTTTGTTTCTACTGGTTCTGCTTCTGTTATTAGGTACTCATACTGCCTTGTTTTCCTGTAGGCTTGGTATCAGTAATCATATTCTGGTTATTGCACTTGAAAAAAATATGTGTGGGGTCTTTCCCAAGCCTTCCTGTTTTATTTACTTTCTCATTACTGGTACAAAATGCCTAACACCCACAAGTTAAAGGAAGACAGGTTTATTTTAGCTCATAATTTGAAGAGGTTTCAGTCTATAGCAAGCTGGCCACAAGGCAGAGTAGCATGGCAGAGCAGTAGTCCCAAGAAAGACAGGCAGAAAGCCGCCAGCAGGGAGCCTCCCTTTCCCTTTTATTTTATCCAGGCTACAAGCCTATTGAATGTTACCACCCACATCCAAGGTGGGCCTTCTCATTATCACACCTAGAACTATACTAAACCAATCAGTGGACTAATTTATTTATCACACATCCTTAATCTGTATTCACACACTATAGATCCAGCCGCCTCCAAATAGCCCCAACTATGAGCACATGAGGGTTTAGGGGAACATCTAGATACAAGCCTTAACACCTCCCTAGAGCCTTTTGAGTTCATTCCTTGGAGTTTCTTGGAGGACCCATTAGATGGATTCTACACTTAATTTTATGGCTTGGAGGTCCTTGGCCTATATAGGTTATATAGACCTTGTATGAAAATATGTTTAAGGAGAGTTTGTGTCAATAATGCTTCAATCAATTTTTGAACAAATAAATTTTACTGAGATATAAATTTATGCAAATTAAAAAGTACATATTTAAAATAGTTCTAAATGAAATCGTAATGATATTTATTCTTTTAATCCACAAATAATTTTTTTACTACATAAATTTTCTTTAATTTCTGTTAATAGTATTTTTTATTTTCAATGTAAAAGTCTCATACATTTTTCATTGTAATTATCCCTAAGTATTTCATTTTGGAGGAAGCTATCCAAATGGGTATTTATTTTTAATTTCAACTGAATTGTTTATTATTGATTTGTAGAATTGATTGGTTTTTATATTGATCTTTTCTCCTTGCTAAGGTCATTTAGTCTAGTAACTCTTTTGTGTAATTCTTCATATAATCATTGTTATGGTTTAGATCTGAAACCATAAAAATCTCATGTGTTCAGAGGTGGGACTTCATTGGATGAGATGGGTCACTGGAGTGTGACCTGGAAGAGGTGTATTTTTTTCCCTCACTCTTCCTTTTCTCTCTGCTTTCTGGCTACCATGAGTTGAGCAGCTTTCCTCTGCCATGCTGTTCCACCATTCGGACTCTGCCTTGAAACCATCTGGCTATGGACTGAACCTTCGAAAACTGTAATCCCAAATAAACCTCCCCTTCTTTAAGTTGTGTGTATCAGGTGTTTTGTTCCATCAACAGGAAAGTGACTAATAAGTGATATAATTTGCAAATAAACTTTACTGTATTGATTATTGTAGCTTTTCAATGTATCTTGAAGTCGGGCGCTCTTTATTTTCTCTCTTTGAAAAGAGACTTTACTTTTTTTTTTTGCAGTGCCAGGGATTGAACTCAGGACCTTGTGCTTGCCAGGCAGGTGCTGGACCACTGAGCTAAATCCCCAGCCCTCAGATTTTACTTTTTAGAGAAGTTTTAGATTCACAGCAAAATTGAGCAGAAGGAACAGTTTCCATCATTCCCTACCCAACACATTGCACAGGGTTCCCTACTGTCAACATCCTGCACCAGATTAGTACATCTGTTAAAATGCAGAGTCCACCAAAAATGTATACACACTTCAGGAAAAGAAAAACTTGTATAAATAATTTAATACTAAATTTATTGAGACAATTACAAGAGGTGCTCAAAGTGGTGGCCATTAGCTTCTAGACATTTGTTATATTTCTTTTCTTGAAGTGTGTAAAATTTTTTGGCAGATTCTAGATTAATTTAC